AGATGAGAAAGCACTCTGACAGCAAAGCAAGGAAACCCGGCGGATCCCTGCAGTAGTCATGGGGGCAGGTGGGGGCGGGGGAGCTCTGGGGCCTAGCACCTCCAGAAGGCCTTTGAGAACTCTCCAGGGAGTAGCATCAGCCCTGTGGGGAAGCAGTGAGCCACACACGAAGGTGGGCCCCTGGCATCATGGGCCTCTGGACACCACGCACTGGCAAAGAGCAGAGTGCGTCCCTCGCTGTCACCTGCCACATTCCTTGTAGGGCCAAGGGCCAAAGATGCAGAGTGCAGGCAGGAGACTAAGTCTAAGAGGACTCTGGCAGTGTGCAGCCCTGGACTGACCTGGAAGGAGGGAAGCAGCTATGCCAGGTGCAGCCTGGGCAGTGAGCTCCCCAGCCTGGACAATGAGGTCCCCAGCCTGGACAATGAGGTTCCCAGCCTGGGCAGTGAGCCCCCCAGCCTGGGCAGTGAGCCCCCCAGCCTGGGCAGTGAGCCCCCTAGCCTGGACAATGAGGTTCCCAGCCTGGGCAGTGAGCCCCCCAGCCTGGGCAGTGAGCCCCGTAGCCTGGACAATGAGGTTCCCAGCCTGGGCAGTGAGCCCCCCAGCCTGGACAATGAGCCCCCCAGCCTGGGCAGTGAGGTCCCTAATCTGGGCAGTGAGGTCCCTAGTCTGGGCAGTGAGGCCCCCAGCCTGGCCTGTGAGGCCCCCAACCTGGCCTGTGAGGCCCCCAGCCCAGCCTGTGAGGCCCCCAGCCCGGCCTGTGAGGCCATGGCTCTGTGTGCTCCTCCGGGTGTGACACCAGGACTCACACTCATATCTAGGGGTGAAGGGCATGGTTGTGAAACACCAGTGGTTCAGAAAATGGGTGCGTGTGGGGAACAGTGATGCACGCCAAGCAGAGTGCGCAGGGTTGAGTGAAGCCTTGGGCACACGGCCTCTTCTGCGCTTCCTGTAGCTTTATCTGTAGGCCCAGAAGCACGCCAAGAAGAAAGGTAAGCCAGGCCAGAATGCACAGTAGGTCCTCTGAAATGTAAGCCTGGCCCAGAACGCACAGTAGTCCTCTGAAATGTAAGCCTGGCCCAGAAC